TCGCGCAAGCGGTTCTGTCTCAGAGAGAGCTGAACCAACCAAGGACCGATCTTGGAGGTCGTGAGCTCCAGGCCATCTCTTGAGGCTTCTCGGTCTCCTGCGAGGCAACCTCGACCAGTTCTTCGGCCATCTTCTGGATGTGCTTTCGTGAGAGGCTTCTTGTTTGTCTGTTTCATCTTCTTGGCTTCCGAATCCCATTGGAGAAAGGGCCACTGGCATTGATCGTCGATGACTTAGCGTTGCATGGCCTCCTTGACAATCTCGTGGCCATGCGGTGCTTGTCGAAGGATTCGATCGAGCAGTGTTACGGTCACCGTCTGAAACAAGGTGTGTTTCAGGGCCGCGGTTTCTTCCACTCCGCCGTCCTTGCGATCAGGACAGGCATTCTTGTTGGGGCAAGCTGAAGGAAGAGCACAAAGCTGTCCATCGTTGCCACTGCTTGGAGTTGACCCTCTTGGCGAAGGGTGAGAGCTGTGAGTATGGATTTCACTCTGCGAAGGTCTGAATAAGTTCCATATCCCTCCTCGTGTTCTACCTTGCTCCATTTGTTGGACGGCCCTGTGGCGACGCCGCTCAAGAGATTGCCGAAGGCTGCATGGCCATTTCTGCTTCGTCCACATCCATGGCTGGCATGGTCCACAAGGTGGGAAGCAAGGTTGATGGCGAGTGGGCAGACCTCTACGACGTACGATCCCTTCAGATTCGAGGCAATAGGTGCAGCAATCTGGTCTGGTGCATTGACACGAAAGGAGAAGAGCTTCACCCTTCCCCAAAACTTTCACATGTTTAGCTTGGAGGTGATTGTGAATTGCATCCGGATCTGCTCCTTGCAAATACTGCAATGCTTGCTGAGCCAGGCACACCATTCATGGGAATTCCAGTAATCAGCAACTGGGAGGTCAGGGCCGGCCAGCATTGCCTGGCGCAGTGGTGCAGGCTTGGTCTCAGGTGTGACAGGGTCGGTCAGTGGGCTTCTTGACCGGTGTAGCCACTCTGCCAATGGACCTGCCAGTGCTTTGGCCAGGGTGGCCGGAATGGAGTTGGGTGCAACTGCTTTGTTCTCTTTGATAGCAAGAAGTTGTTGCTCAATTTCTTCAGAGGTCAGGATCAATGGTGGTACTTGCGGTAGAGTGCACAAGGGCCGCTCCGCCTGAAAGATCCAACGGAAGTGATCCTCCAGAATCTGCATCTCTTCAGTGGGATTGAGCAAGGTCCCGTGTGAGTGCTTTGATTGCCTCATAGAGTCCACGGGAATCATGACAATGAGCGGCTCCGCATGCCTTGTCGGTGACCTCCAGGATTTCCTCTTTCCTTCTCTGTTTGCTATGCTGCTTCAACTGATGATGAAGGTTACAATGTTTCGCCATATGTTGCCAACAATGCATGATTCTCCCCAAGGTGGTAAGAGCACGAAGTGGGTACCGAGCCTCATGAAGATGGTGCCATTTGAGTGCAACGAGTGATTTGGTAGCCTAATTGGAATCTTCTGGACAGGTTTCTGGTGATACCAGCCTGATCTAGCTGATCGACCAAAGACTGAAAATCATCACGCCCGACCTGTGTAACCACGGCCTGAGACTGTTGAAGAGCTCCAGCCCAGGTCTCGGTGTGCTCGTTCCTGTCCTGTTGAAGCAAACGATTGGAGCATCTGGCAAATTTGGGTGGTGTGGTGTTGGGGTTGTGAAGCCACACCTTCCATCCCAGCGGAATGGACCCAATGAGAGGACGATGATCAGGGTAATCCCTGTGTGCCAACATGGGGAATTGTGTCAAGCACCGTGCATCATGTGAAAGGCTATCTGAGTGGGGCTTGCGCGTGAGCAGGAAGTCGATGTTGCTCTGACCCCTCGGGCCACTGTAGCTGAATGCTCGGTCATGAGCACAAAGGGAGGTCAGTCACCTGCATGAGATCTCGCAAGGTGGTGTAATCACCTGGAGTCTGACTTGTCGACCTCAAAGTGGTGCATGTCACCTCCGATCAACAAAATATTATAAAAAGGCAAAGATCTCAACAGTTGTTCCAGCTGTTGCCAAAATTTGTTCCTGGAGGCCTGAGGAAAGGGTCTCAACTTTGTCACCCCCTGTGGAAATTGATAGGCATTGACGATGTCCAGTGTCCCCTTACTTGTATAGCATCTGGTATGCTGTAGACGACCAGGTATGGGGTCAATCATGCTGATCTGGTCGAATGGACAGTTCGAATCAGTGTCAAGTGTCAACAATCCCCCTCCCCCCGGACACCTCTTCAGCAGAAGGAATGACAGTGTACCCATAGGTCTGCCAAGGTTGAGGTGCATTCCAATAGGTCGACTGGAGGAGTACTATGTCAAAGCCATGCTGTGTAGACCACCAGAGCCGGCATAGTCTCCAGAGGATAATGCAGCACAGTTCCAACTCAAGACCGAGGGCCGTGGCCTGCGTCGTGCAGGCTGAGAGCTCCAGGTAGCGGCACAACCAATTGCATGAGGTGCTCCCAGGTGTATGGTGCCATGGTAGATGGCAAAACCAGAGGCATGAAGCTTTTTGGTTAATCGTCGAAAGCTTCTTTTAGCAATCTTAAATTGAGTCTTGGCTGTCGAAATCCCGAGGGATACTTGATGCCCTTTACCACAAATTTTGGAGGAGGTCTCATTGGTATCAAAAGTAAGGCCACCTCCTCTGGAATCAAGTGGGGTCTTGACTCCACCCTCACCTCTCATCTTCAGTATGAAAAAGAACCCAAACGATCAACTCTTCCAAGATGCCCGGACTTGGGACCGGACTGCGTCCAAAAACGATTTGCAGGCGCGGCCAGGGGATCCTTTCAAGAGCAATGCAGAAGCCAAGGCAGCAGTGCCAGCACCGAGAGAGGCAGCAAGAATCGATGCCAAAGGTGGCGCCGGGACACCATGGTCATGCACCCGGGTGTGCCAAGGTCATAGCGGCACGGAGCGACGCTGACCGCTATTGGTCAGGATTTGCGCAGTCAGAGGCTTGATAGATAGATAGATAGACAGATAGATATAGATCGATGGGTGGATGGAGATAGACACTTCTGGCTGGCGGCTGGCGGAGAGTTTTCTGCGCTAACACTTCAGTTGCTCAGTTGCTCAGGCGCATCGATTCTGCCGTTTTTCTTCTACTTCATGTCTGAACAAATCAGAAGCTGGGAAATCCCACCAGGATCGACGTGCTCCCGGCGACATTGGGTGCGGAGTGCCACCTCATGACAAGGACCAGCGTGTGTTTTTATGGGCTCCAAGGATTTGATCGTTCCTGTGGGGCTCGCTTGTTGCAAGCACACCGTGGGGTTCATGGGGTCTTTTCTGGATCCTTTGCAAATTTTGAAGTGTTTGTTCGGTTTTGGATTTCAGGTTTCAGGATCCGTTTGCGTGCGTAGAATTGCATAGATCTATTTTGTGTGCTTCCTGCTTGGGCGAAGCATTTTGCATAAATGTGTTGAGCAAAAGCTTCCTGGCCGACGTTTGGTGTCTGAAAGGCTTCACTGATCAACCCACTCGCGCCGCTCACGCGTGGCATGCGTCGAAGTGGCATGGCCATGTGGAGCTGCTATCTCGCTGTGAATCGTGTTACCTATGTCGGCGAAGACCTGGGAAAAGGATGCGAGAGAGAGTGTGCTGCAGGTTGTTCAATGAATCTACGGTCACTGGACGGTCACTTCCGGATGTTGATGGTTGGCACCTGAGGGTGCATAGTTTCTGCTCAACTCGGGTTATTCATCTACATCTCTCCAGCTTTGGACATCAAACGGGAAGCTCGTCGTCGGCAAAAGCTTTGAGGCGAACTAGGGAGGTCATAGAAGTGCCACACACATCACACCTTATAGGGAAATGATGAGCTCGACGACGACGACTGCTGCTGCTGCTACTAAAAATGACGACGACGACTACTACTACTACTACCCCGATTACAACCACTACTACCACCACTACTACTACTACTACTACCACCACACGATCTACACTGTCAGCCACTCAGCCACTCAGTCATTCAGGATCCACACTGCCAGCCACTCAGCCACTCAGGATCTTGAGTGGCTGAATGCATTTCCATGTACAATCAAAACAACACAATAAACTAGTATTTAAAACAATGTAGACATTAAACAGCTACCCAGTTGATTTCACATCGGGTGGAATTATACATATCAAACACAATTCCAATTTAAATCATGTGTGTCTCTAATGTTTGTAATTAAGACAGCGCCCTGTGCAAAGAAATCTGCCCTTATCATCGCGCGCGCAAAATGAATGCTAAAGGTCCCGAAATCATATGTCTATACACACACATGTATGTATATACACACATATATGTATGTATACAGGTGTGCCCTGTTTGGGATTCCTGGCCAGGCCCAACATATCCAAAGTTGAATATTGATGAACGTTGTAATTACTGAGCTTTAATGGTTACGACGGCAAAGCCAATTCCTTGACGTCCCCTACCTCCTGGTGTCACCTTTAGCTGCAATTGTTCAAGTCATACAAAACGACTGCACTATACCAGGAAGTGGCAGGAAGCACTGTGCAGGGGTCTCGGTCGGTACAAAAACGGCATTGGCTTCTTTGGAATTTGAAAGTGCTGCGACATCCATAGTGAAGTTGATGCCCAAAAGGCTTTCAATGGATTAAAATTAGTCCATCATATTAATTTCTATTATATATGATCTTTGTCTGCCCTTCAGTCTATAGGTCTTCTTCTAGAGGATTTATTATATTTATGGATTGCTCTTATTAAACTATTTCTATAGGAGATTACACAAATAATTTTACAGGAATTCATGTAAAGAGGCTCGCAAGTTGCAAGTCGTTAAAGCTAAGTAGCTCCCAATTTTGCTCTAGTACTAGTACTAAGTCGCAATTCTTCTCCGCTGTTCTCTTTCTCACTACCAGTGGTTCGGCACCCTGAGACTAAGTTTACGATACCTACGATTGAAGCAAGACACAGAACAGCAGCGCTCCCCTGCTTTACAGCACACTGTCATCATCTGAGTATCAGGCCAATCCAGGATCCTTGGGCACTATTCAAAAACATCAACCTCGATATCTTCTCTTTGCACGCTAAGCTTGTGGCTTGTCCTGGCTTTCTCGTTGACCATCTTCATCCTCGGCCTGTATGACAAAAATAGTTTGTGACCCAACGCAGCAAAGGCTCTCTCAATGCACTTGCATCAAGCATCAAAGGTCCGACTGTCATTGGAATCCATTGCTCCATAAAGAAAACAACTCTGGTGCAAGGGGCAGCCACCGCAAAGTGCGTGGCGGTGGCAAACCATTCTAGAGCCTCGAGTTCGTCTTCATCCATAAAGGAGCTCTCCTGGCACGTCAATGCTGAAAGGTTCATTAGAGTTAGAGGTTCACCCCCCCAATTTATTCAAAACTTGGTTATCTCAAATGACTGGTAAGTCTGCACAAGTCATTCTACTTTAAAAACGGTGCAAAAAGAAAACCACCTTCTCGGAAAGTTAGCAAAAATGGGTTTGGAAGTCATGGCTTCAAGAAAGTGTTTGTGACACGTTTTAAATCATGAAACATTCATGAAACACAGGAAAAAACACACACAAGCACAGATCAACGTGTGATGCTCTTTTCTTATTAATTTTTTCCTTTGGCTTCGTCCTGGCTCAAAAAAACAATGCCCATAAAAGAACATGAAACAAACACACATGATGCCGCGCCGCTATTGTAACCGTTTTGGTTCTTTTCAGAAGGTCTGCTATTTTGGATTTCAAACCTTTGAAGATGGAGGCAAGTCATTTTTTGGCAGAGGGGAGCAGGACACTTGTTGTCACTATCATCACACGGTGGACTCCGCTGAAGGCACTATTCTTACAGTTTGATACAATTCAACGTACTATTTATGTACAAAGTATACACACATTTGAACTATTTTCTCGTTTGATTAAACTGATTCAGGAAGTTTGCGGCCTCTATCAGGCAATTGTTTCTTTGTTTATTTTGTCACATCTTTCGGCTTTTGAAACAGCCTTGACATGATGTGACAGGATTGGTATCCAAACTGTGACATGTTTGCAAAATAGCCAAGAACGAAGTTCAGCAAAACACACGGAGTGTGGACCTTAGACTTTATCGGCCAGTTGTTGATTCTTTTAGTGATCGTAAATTTAGTTGACATGTTATGATCATATAGATTTGGCCATCGAAAGTGAACACAATTTAGCATTGCTGTTGTATATAAAATGGCCTAACATTGCAAACAATGCTATATTTCACTCATCAACATTACGTCACCAAACTCTTCTGCTCTTTGACGTGATTCCAATAAGTTCCAGGTTTCGGCTGAGAGAAACGGTTTCTTTTGGGCAGGGAGTATCTGGGCAGGTTTTTCTTTGCCAACTCCTTCAAAACTTGAGCCAGTAGAGAGAGAGGTTCATGTCCATTGGTGACGAGCTCCGATTTCAGTATGAAGTGAATGTACACAATGTATCGAGCTCTTTGCGCGTGGGGCTCCCATACTTGGGATTTGCGGGGGTCTATGCGCGCGCTTCATTGCTAGTTTCATTTGGATCGTTCCCGTTAAAAGCTTGTGATCGGATTCTATACCTGTGCGCGGCGTTGTATCAGTGTTGCGCATTGCGTTTCGTCACTGCTTTTTAAGAATATAGAGTTATATGTATATTTATAATCCAGTTGTGCAAATTTGGTGTGGGGGGTCAAAGGTCTTGGCTGTTGGATATCTAAAAGTGATAAGCTTTTGAGCTGATTTTTGGAACCACGTTGAAAACACGACGTAGTTTTCTAGGCAGAATTCGGTGAACATGTCTCGATTTTTCAAGTTGGGGGCCGGGTAGGTCTCCTATTTCCAGCTCGTTCTCGTTGAAAACCCATGGGCCTATAATCATAATGTTCACTTTCTTCTGGAAGGTGTCGCAAGAGTTTGGCATTAAAATCCCCCACTATTATGTGTTGATTGCGTTGACCAAATGTTCTGGCAATGCTACGGAGAGATTGATAATAGCTGTCTTTGTCCTGCTGTGGTTTTGCTGCATGAGGGGCTGATGTTGGTGTATTTCGGCCAGTTTGGTCGCTTTCAAAGCCATGGATGTCGACGCTGGCGTTGTCGTTGGTGGCAGTGGATCAATGGACAAATCAAACATAAAGAGCACAAATGTCACAAGACTGTAAAACAATGAAATTGCAAAACGTTCAATACTGGTGGAGAGATGGGTTACTGTAACTCAATAATATGACTACAGTACATGGAACTGTACGCCAGCAACATCCCCAGGTTTCACACAATTTTGCACGGACGAACTTATTGCCAGGCCTCTACGAAGACACACTCACCCTCTCTCTATCCACCTCTCTCTTTGCTTGGAGCATCTTTGCGCCGCCATTGAGAAACTAGGTGCCAGTGTTGTTAACACCTTGACATTGCAAGATCATCTCATATGGTCCGGACCCAAAAAAGAGAAACCGGTGCGCAAATTTAAACCATGCTGAAAACAAGGCCCCAGAGCCAGAGCCCGGAACATAGAAAATTATCCCAATGAAAGTACTACGCAAAAGTGGGTGTTTCCGCGACAGGTGCGTTTCGTACCTTTCCCCTATCGAATTGCGACACGCGCGCAGGTGTGTGTGTGTGTGTCACCTTTGGAGTCACAAGGTTCCTTTCTGAGTGTGCTCCGGCGTGATTGTGGGACCGCACTCAACGAAGCTACCACAATCACGGCATACCGAGTCTGATCAACTCGGCGTACCTGCCTGAATTTTAAGCTTTTGTAAAGGTCTAATGAGTTCGGCAGTCATGCACGAACGATCACGAACGCCGTCATTTGTCGTTTCGACTTCGACTTGAGCTTTTGGCCCCATCTCCTTTTGCAGACCTCGAGGGTCCATAGGGTTTTCTTGGACTGTTCAGGATTTGGAAACCCAGGTTGGCGTGTGGCAACCGCTTTCAAGTCAGTACGCAGTTCTATAAGTGTGTCTGGCTTCATGCCAGCCCAGGGTGACCCCGAGGAGTGGCCCCTGTGGACCCGTTGGACGGGGGTTTTTCGTCCCTGCGCCCGGGACCAGAGTAGTCCGCAGCGGACAAAGTAGGCTTAGGCCAAGGTTATTTGCCAAGACTTGCTGGATTAAGAAATTCCAAGCTGGCTTATGCCTTTACTTAGGGGGCCGCCTACTTATAACCTGGGTTATAACAACTTATCTTTAAGCCCATGTAAGTCCACTTAGGCCTAAGTCATGTAAGGTCATTAAGTCCGTGTAATCGATCATAAGTTCAACAGCCTTGTTTCTTTAAAAAAACTTGTCACGTATGTTTTTTCTTGTTTTCGATGTTGCAAAGTGTATCAGAGCGGTCAACGCACCATCAAATACGCAATGTATATATACGACGTATCCCTCACGCTCTTTCGCCACGCTTTTTCACTCAGTGGATGCAGTCGAAGGATTCCGCGCCACTGCGGTGCTTGCGAGTCCGCCAGAAGTGTGGGATGAGGAACCAGGCATCTCGAGTCACCTCCCAGATGAACGTTTTCTTTGTGCTCAGCTTCCAAGTGGACCCCCATGGGTGATCCGTCTCGCAGATCAAGGTCTCCAGCTCCACCCATCGACCCGCGTCAGCGGAGTAACAGCCCACCGCGCGCCCGCCCCGCTCCCGCCCCCACAGCAAGACGTCGCCAGCGCAGACGCTGCTCCTATAGAGGGACAGGCCCTGGGACTGCGCCAGGTCAGCGTGACCCAGGCTGGCGCAGACTGCTTTGCTCGCGGCGGACACGGCGCCTGTTGTGCTCCATGTGGTCATTGGCACGTCCTGCGCATGGCAGACCATCTGAGTCAAGAGAGTCTGCAGCACAGAGAGCTGAAAGGCCTGGCTGGTGTCCACAAAGCCGTCAAAGCGACCCGCAGTGGACGTTGATTTGTATACCTTGCGCTTGCGCTCATGCGTTTCAGCGCAGGGAAGCGCAGACAAGCGCAGGGCGCACTGGGGCAAGTGTAGACGCCAGTGGTGTTTCGGCTTCAGCAGATTCGCCGTACGCCTCGATGAACTTGCGCTGATGGCGCAGCCACTTCGAGCCGCCGTGTGTCTTCGGAGCTGCGGATCCGGCGCGGCCTGTAGTACAGCGATCGGAGCTCGCGGCAGACCAGCCACAGCGCAGAGAGGGACGTCAACGCAGGCTGCGCTCCCTCCACGCCGTCCAAAACAGACACCGCGGCGCGATAGTACACCGCAAAAGCCGAATGCGTTTCTCTGGCCATGCCCTTGAACTGTTCTTCGCTCCAGAACTTGTCCGTGAACCACGCCCGCATCCTGTCCGTGCACGGTGTGTTCCGGCCCTGCTTGCGCCACACTGACTGGCCCACAGTCTCGCGTATTGCGTCCAAGGTGAAGCCAGGCACACATTCCCTGAACTTTGCAAGCGACAGGGCCATCTCCCATGACACCAGCCCGTTACTGAAATACAAGTGCGTGGAGTCAAACAGCGCCGCCGATGGCGGCATGCGCGTGCGACCCACTGGGTCTGCTAACAGGCCGTCGGGGATGTGTTTCACGCCGCTGCTCTTAGCAAAGGCTGCCCGACGGGCCCGGGATAGGCCGCGCATAGCGGCAGCCGCGTCAAAGAGTTCCTTGTCCGTCGCTGGTACAAACAGAGTGGCATCCACCTCTGCGATGTTGACGAACCCGGCTGGGAGATCCCTCATGCGCTTGCTCACCACGTTGGAACAAACCCAACAACAGCGTATGGCGGCAGCGCCGTTGAAGCCATATACCGAGCGGATTGCTTCCCCGTCTGCTATAAACTGTAGTTGCGGAGCCAAAGAGCATCTCCATGTCCGCCCTTTGTGCGTCAGGTCAAAGCCCTGCTGCGCGCTCTCGTAGAGTGTTCGGACGAGGACTGCTGCCACGACCGACAGAGGGGCGCCTGCCTCTTGTAGAGCGTAGGTCTGAACGGCCGCCACGGAGAGCCACGCGTCTTCGCGCACGGAGAAGTCCAGCATGTGCCGGAAACCAAGATAGAACATGTTGCACTTCTTCTTCTTCTGAACAGATAATATGTTCCCTCCAATCACTTCGTCTGTGTACAGGATTCCGTGTAGTTCTGGCCGGGTCTCCTCGCCCAAGGTTGCCACGAACGAGTCTGCAAAGGAAGGCGCTCGCGCGCACACGTGCTGGACAATCTCCGGCAGCTTGGCCACAACTAAATCCCCCTCCGTATTCGGTAGCCTGACCGTTTGGAAGCAGGGCTGGCTGTCCATGGCCTCCCTTTGTCTCCGTCGGCGGGCCGTTGTCGGCGCCACCGTCTTGTCGGGGTGCCATATGTTCCAGAGGCGCGTCGCCTGCTTCGCTGAGACTCAAGCCATCCTCCAGTCTCGGGCTCTGCCGGGACGTCGCTTTGCGTTTCATCGCCTGCCCTGTGTCCCGCCCCCTGAACGACGTATATAATGGCAGCGGCCAGCACCAGTCACTCATCAATGTCCCTCGCCCCATGTTTCGCGCTGCTACATATATAAATCGTATATATATATATATAATACATCTACCAGAAAAACACGAAGCCAATGTTTATAGATAGGCCCTTGGCTGTCCAGCGCGGTCCGCGGCGGCGCGCCGCAGTGCTTTTGTGCTCCCTCCGCGTATATATCTCTTATATAGTCGCCGTGTCCCTGGCGCGCTCACTGCTCGCTCTTCTTGCCTGTGACGCGGACGCGCTTGGGGGCTGCTGGCGTGTCCGCGTTCTCGACGGCCGCCCTCTTCTTCCCTGGCAACTTGGGCGCCGCCGCTTTGGCCTCTTTCTTCGCCTCGCGCGCTGCGGCCAAGGTCTCCGCGGCCGCGTCCACAGTGGGCTTCAGGTCGCCCTTCTCGAAGGGCAACGTCAGAACGGCGCCAGGCGTTGCCTGCGCCTGGTGAATGGCCGCTTTGCATGCCTCCGTCCAACTGCTCAACTTCTGCAACGCTTCTTGCAGAGGTTGCGCGTCTACGCCTGCTCCCGGTTTGGCCACGGCGCCACGCAGGGCTTTCACCTTCGGGGCCATCATGGCCAAGCCTTTAGTAGCCAGGGCCTCGATCTTTCTTCCTCCTGGCGGCCTCCTTCGCAGCTTCCTTTTCCTGTTTCCTCTCGCCCTGGCCCTGCGACGTCGCCTTGGCGCCGGGTCGGTCCTCGGGAAGCACCCACGTCTTGTCTGGTTCCTCTTCCGCTGTCTTCTTGCCCTTCTTCCGCGAGGCCTCTTGCTCTCGGCGTGGTACATATTCATTCACGGCCTTCTCGCGCTCCGTGCGCGTCATGGTCCTCAGAGCCACCCCATACGTGGTTCCCAGATGAGGGCGCTGCTCTGTTGGACACTGCTTTACCTTGTCCTCGCAGTAACCCTCCTTCACCCAGACTTCCAGCGGTTTGAAAGTCGCTTGGACTGAGCTGGCGCTCTCCTCCTCTCGGCGAACGGTATAGCTGTTCCGTGAGCAGCGCGCGGACGACTGTCCACTTCACGCCCCCGCTGGAGGCCTGTGCTGCCCTCTGGAAGAATTCGGCTTTGTCGTCCGGGGTAAATTCCTCCGGGAAGCCGCCCATGTTCCGCGCGACAGACTTCTCCAGGGCGAAGCATGTGTGGCACCACCACTGCGCCGACCGCTGGCGCCCTGCGCTCAGCTCCGTGAACCGCCCGCAGCGGTTGCACTGGGCTTGCTGCTCTGCAGTTTCCACCAGCCGAGTCTCGGGCGTCTCCGCCATGCTGCAGGGACACTTGTCTTGTCTATATACGCCTCGTTCTCTTGAGCCCGACTGCGCGCCCGCCCCCCCAAAAAACACCTGAATCTAGACGTTGCGCTGAAGTCCACGAGACACCTACGAGACATCACGAGACATCTCACTATATATGTTTGTAGACGTCCCACCTTTGTTGTCCTATTGCGAGACATCACGAGACATAACGGAGCTTTGACCCCTGTTCGACCTACGAGACATTTGCGAGACACTCGCTCGTCGTTCCTTTTCTCTCCTCGCGGGCTGCGCTTGACTCCTATATATCTATACAGAGGCCCCAATATGCCCAGCGCGCTCTCCACGCGGTACGCAGGGGCCAGCAGTAGTTCTCATCTTCCAGCTCCCCAGATACCCCGCATACTGAAGTTGTACCACAAAGTCGCCAGTGCTCGCCTGCATTTCGCGCGCTCGACACGCACGATCTCCGCAGAGGGTTGCCTGGGCACCGGACAAATCGCACTCTCGCCTGCATTTCGCGCACTCGACACGCGCGATCTCCGCAGAGGGTTGCGCGCGCATGGGTCAAATCGCACTCTCGCCTGTATTTCGCACACTCGACACGCACGATCTCCGCAGAGGGTTGCGCGCGCATGGGTGAAAGCGCACTCTCGCCTGCATTGCGCACACTCGACACGCACGATCTCCGCAGAGGGTTGCGCGTCAAGTCTCCAAAACGAGCGTTTCGTACGAGACTTCCTCTTTAAAAACTCACACGTCAAAGTTTGCAAAACGAGCGTTTCGTACGATACTTCCTCCAAAAGTCAAGCGGAAACACCCATCGGAGCACACACATCACGCAGCCCTGCCAAGCAGTTTCGCGATTCCAGCCCCTCCAAACAACATCCGCTCACACGCCAATCCCAATGTGACAGCGACATTCACCTCTACCACAACTCACAACCTCACGATTCCCTGCGCCTGCCACGAATCTTTCCCCATCCACATGTCTAACGCGCACAAAGTACTGCGCCTGCCACGAAATGTCACCTCCCTCACACCTCGCAACCTCACGATTCCCCGCGCCTGCCACGAGAATCGCACTTCCACGCCTCAAAACCCGCACGAAGTCCTGCGCCTGCCACGAAAAGTGACAATATCATCGCATGTGAGCTTCAACACAATTTCGACCACACCACACGTTTGGAATGATTTCGACCCGTTCAGAGCACACTCCCATCCACCAAAATCGCCATTTCAGCTGAGACTTGTCACGAAAACAAGGCTTCGATGCCACACCCTGAAACGCAAATCCCAATGGCACGGCCACATCCAACACCCCAAAAACACGACTCTCCACACGCTAATCCCAATGGAACTGCGGAGCAATCAGCCGATCTCACAAAACGCTGCACCTGTGCAGCGAAACGCATCACGTTTCTCGCGCGACATGTCCTGCTCCTGCAAATCACAATGGATTAGCGGTGCCAACTCACATGTGACACGTCCATGCAAAGTCACTTGCAAAAGCTTCCCCCAATGGCAGCAAATTTGAGACGCGACGACGACGACAAACGACGACAAACGACGAGAGACGACGACAGACGACGACAGACGACGACACGACGCAGGCCATGCAAACACATGTCCAACCCCCACACCCCCAACTATAAACGGGAACCCTTCGCTACGCATTCGGGAAAAAGGGAAACATGAAGACTGGAGAGAAAAAAACCACCAGTCTTCCAGAAGCTGCTGCAGGCCTTAGATGGCCCAGGCAGCACCCAGCCTGGAGAAGGAAGCAGCAGCCACAAGAGGAAGAGTGGGAAGCAGCCAGAACAGCAGCCCAGCCTGAAGAAGGCAAAAGCAGGTATCACCATTGTGGATCCTGTTGAGGAAGAACAAGAAAGGCTCACTGAAGTGTGGGAAATCCAAAGCTCAGTTCCACGCACCCAAGAATCTTTGGTTGCAGCTGAAGAGCTGGTTCAAGCTCACATGAAGAGGCCTGCTGCAGTCACTGCTTCTAAGAAGAAGCCAGCAAAGGCAGCTTCCCACAAGCCAGCCACAGCCAAGGGGTGTAAGAAAAAGCCTGGAGAAGGCAAGGGGTGGCAGAAATCTGCTAGCTTTGGATGGATCAAGCAAACAAGAGCTAGCAAGAAAGCATACTTTAAGGTCCCTTACCACTTAGCTTACTTATAAGTAGCCGTAAGTAGGTTATAACATGGTTTTAACTAGGTTAAGTTACTTATAAGTAGGTCACAAGTAGGATAAGTAGTTTGGGTAACTTATCCCACTTATAAGTTGTTAGTAGCGTATCTAAGTTACTTGTAAGTAGTTTTAAGTAAAACCACCGTTAAACTATGGTTGCAAAAGGAAGTGGGCTAAGTTATTTGAAGTTACTTATGTTTACTTCTGTCTACTTATTTTTACTTATCCTACTTAATGGTTTTCTTGTTTTTTCTGCATGTGCACGGTATTTTTTGTTCAAACTACCCAAAAAACAATGTTTTGACCACAACGATGCTAGTAATGTCAAAGCAATTGTTTTGTGATGTCTTCACTGCACATTTTTTTGTAAGCAAACAATCATCATTGGGTACGGCGGCATCATCGTTGGATGTGACATGTACATATATATATATGTATACCACACATATCACATTTTAAATGCATATGTAAAAGCACAAGTATGATGATTTTATTTGCCTTGGAGCGGTGTGTCCGCTGGTTTTTGTTTTTTGACTCAAAGCGGTGTGTCCGCTGATTTGTTTGTTGGTTTTTGGTTCAGAAGATATGTATGTTGCAGCAACAAACAAGTGTATGTTCTCATGTCTAGTTTCAAGGTCAAGAAAGGTTAGATGGATCGACTCTCTTGACAACAAGGAAAGACATTTGGTTTTTTTTTGTCACGCTTTCAAGTTCTGTAAGCATAAATGTATGTGAGCACATGTATATCCATGCGGTTGACCAGGTGATTGAAGGTTTAGGTTAAAACATATGAAGTTTTTGTTTGATTTTTATAGACAGATTCAACAAGTGGCCATGGCTCCGAAGGGATGGCCGGCGCCTGAAGCACCACCTGACGCTAACAGCGTGGATCCAAACCCAAAGGGTGTGGAGATTCCTGTGATTCCTGATCCAAACCCAGAGGGTGTGGAGATTCCTGTGATTCCTGATCCAAACCCAGAGGGTGTGGAGATTCCTGTGACCGCGGCAACTCATAAGTTAGCTCCGCCGACTCCGAAAGCGAAAGCGAAGCTTCCACAGCCTGTTGCTCCTTGGAGGCTGCTGCTGAAGGGATATAAGGCTACCGATGAGAATTCGAAGACAGGACTTTTTGATGACTTTATGTGGTGTTTCTGTTGCGCAGCAGTTTTTTTTGTATAGGGTTTGAGAAGTGAGCGGTCACACCGCTTTACAGGACCACCTGCATGGATGATAGAAGCTGCCCGACGAGCGAAGGAAGGAGTTGGGAGGCAGCACTTCGGCGCCTTCATCTTCGAGCGGTGCAACCACGACCTGGAATGGCGCCGGTGCTGCCGATGCTGCGGGCGCTGCGCTTGGGAGCACTATGAGTTCTGGTTGGAGACCCTATAGCATCGAAAGAGCCAGCTTGGTGCCTGCACCTGGAAATCCAACCAAAAGTTTGTTGGACCACCTGGCTTCTGATGGGCCAGTACCCGGACACTATGTCATTGAAGCTGCACATGATGCTGCAGCACGTGCATCTGTGGGGCCCGTTGCCGGCTAGCAGTGGAACATCTGCGTCTGCTATACCTGCTGGCAGTGTTGCACCCTCATCGGCCCATGGACCTCGTTTACCTTCAATGCCGACCGTCAGCGGTGCACGTTGCAAGACGGCTGGAGTACCGCCTGAACCGAGAGCAAGGTCTGATGCAGCCACTGGCAGGTACCATCGGTTGCCAGGCGAGAGCAGCCGTCAGTTTCAATGGCGTGTGTACGGCGTCTGGCGCCAACGCGGCGGCTGTCGGCAAGATGAGTTTCGTCGAGGTCCGTACTGAGTTGCAGACTTGTGGATGGAAAAAAAGGCAGGTTAGGTTGATATGGGTTGTTTGGGTTTGAAGCGGTTGGACGATTGTGAAGCGGTGTGGTCCGCTGTGGTAAGTAGCGGTTTGTCCGCTCTTCGATGTTTGCAGCGGTTTGCCCGCTTCACTTGATACTCACGACGCATGTGGTGTCATCTTACAGTCCATATCTTCTATATGACGTATATCTACTCGTGATGTTGTAATGTTGTCACAGCATTCTGTGTGTACATATCATTTTATTCTTAGGATATGTAAATATATGTATATATTAGATTTACATACTGAATGTGTTTCTTTTGCAAGAGTTGACCTAAACTGATGAACAGGATTATGTTTTCGCTTGGCTTAGTCAGAGAGATGGCAGATAGGCGGAAACAACAAAACTACACACAGCTGCCTCACTTTCTGACCGATGGTTTGTGGCGGAGGCTTGAGACACTGCCTCGGCATGAGGCCACGGTCTCGTTGATAGCTCACGCTTTTGATCTTGGGTTGAGATGCCCTTCAGAACAGACGTTTGGAATTTTGCAGAACCTGTTAGCCTTGGCCGGACCTGAGAAAGAGCGGCCTCAGTCCTCCTTTGAAAGATACAATGCGATCCAGACGCTGAAAAAAATGTGGAAGGAGTTTAAAAATGGCAGGGAGGACCAAGATCACCAATACTCTGAGTACTTGTTTGTACTTCCAAGATTGGTGGAGCAATTGCCTCCTGAGTGCTACGCGGCTGCATTTTCTTTGGAGCCTCCCGTGGAATGCCGTTCCTGGACAGCAATGATTTGCAAGGCGTTTGTTCTTCAATGTGTTTTTCACTTCCCCCGATGATACGGTTTTTTGTTCGTCGACCATGAAGCCATTTTTGCTATCTATAGCTTTTGGTCTTTACGTGCCTTCCCTGAGGAGTGAGCCTGGATACCCTACTGATGGCCCAGGGAGCTACAAAATTGCGGTGGCCAAAGGATGCTAGTGGCAACGCGGTGGGGAAGCAAGAGGCAGATGCAGAATCTGCAAAGATGGAGTCCCAAATGAGGATGATGGAGTTTGCATTTCGAATGGCACATTCCTATGGCTCCGAGCCATCTTCCTCTGCTTCTGTTCCTGCCCGAGGTGCTCGCCCTGTTACTCCACAGCTCGCATTAGAAGACGACCCTACACGAGCCCTAGTCGTGCCTTCACAGCCCCGTCGTCAGGCGTGGTCGCTGCATCGGTTGTCTTGCATTGGTCGACATCTAGATGATGTTTGTTTGCAACAGTTCTATAAGTATTGTTCTTGGGCTGCAACACCAAGTATACATTGATGCATTTCTATAACTTGCAGTTCGAACCTTTTGATGTGTAACTCGAAGCGCTTCCATGCTCGTGGGATTTCAACATGTATATATTTGCCAGACAGGCAGCCACTGTATAGCAGACATTCACAAGTAGGTTTGGCTATATTAGACAGATTGTTGGGGCTTTACCAGTTTGTATGAAGATATACATGGGTAAATATTTACAGTTTCAAATATGTTTGACATGAATATGTAATTTCGCTTGCGGTCTGTTATCCGCACACTGGTGATTCTAGCAATGAAACAACATTATTAAAGGGATTCAATCCAGACAGTTCTTGATTGTCTTGAATGCTCATTGATGATGGCCTCACTGTTGTTCCACGGCCCTGTGTCCATGGAAGTTTTGTCAGGACCAACAGCTCGACCAAACTGAGCAAAACGATGCAACGACTGCAGAACCTGCTGACTCAGCCTCGGGAGCAACAAAATGCAGATGCGTTGCACCAGCTTGATGACCCACAGTCGCAGCCTGTCACTGGTGACCCTCAAGCCAGATCTGAGGCGCCTCATTTGGGAGCTAAGGCAAAGGTCACTGCAGCACCGAAATGCAAGGCCAAGGCGAAAGTGAAGGCTTCACCGAAGTCGAAATGCAAGGCCAAGGCGAAAGCGAAGGCTTCACCGAAGCCAAAGTGCAAGGCTCAGCCAAAGCCACAGGCTTCCGAGCCAGTTTGGAAGAGACCTAGCTCAAAGAAGGTCGCTTCGCCAGCAAGCACGAAGCAGACGACCGTGAAGCGCAAAGCTGCCTTGAAGAAGACACCGGAGTGTGTGTATTCGAGGGCCTACCATAAGACTGTGAGTATCTTGGTTCGTTTTTTTGAGTATGTTTTGTATGACATCACTGTGTCTTCCTGATATAGTTTTGTCTTGTCGGACAGAGTTGTTACTTTGCTGGTTGAGCGGTGTGACCGCTGATACCGTTCACAACAGCTGCAGGCCAGCTGGAGAAGAAGGGAGACCTTAGCCATGACAAGATCTTGGAGAGAGCTCGAGCTGCCGGGCAGAAAGCAACCAGGGCCCTGACGATTGGACGTTGAGGTGTGTATATATGATCGCCGTGCAGAGGCATCATGTCAAAAAAGTGAGCAGCACGAAGTGTCCACGGGTTGCGATTCGTTCGTTCTGTTATACTTATCTGTCTCTACTCTCTACAAGTCTCTGTCTGTCTCTCTGTCTTTTTCTGCATGTCTATCTGAAGATTTACCGCTAGTTAGCGATGGGGTACACATTGAAGAGGCTTAAACACAGATTTCAATTTATCACATGACTATGTTTATATCTATGACATGTAGGGGACAGATATACTATACTTTGCATGTGGAGCGGTTCGCACCGCTGGTTGAAATCTCATCCATTCGTGTTTTTTCTCCTTCTGGTTCCCAGCGGTTTGTCCGCTTAGCGCTTGGTTCGCTGATGTTTACAGCTGTGGTATGCTTTTAGATTTGCATCGCATGGTAGGTGATGGTGCTTGTTTTTGAAGGTATCTTTCGCGACTCAAGCTTCGGTGCCAGAAGCCATGTTTCGATTTGAAGCGGCCACAATCGCTTGGAGCTCCATGGAAAGCCATACCTCGGAGCAGTCCTGGGATGACTGGGCCAGTTTGCAGAACTGGCAGCCCCTCGCTCCTA